GGGCGGGGGTGGCCGGGGGGGCTCGGGGTGCGGTGCCGGCTGCCATTGGCTGCGGCGGGCTGATGTCACGGGCTGCTGTCACTTAAAAGCTCCGCGGCGCCTAACGGGCTGGGACACGGGCTGGGACACGGGCTGGGACATTGCTGGGGCACGGCCGGGACAGGGCAGGACGGGAGCGGAGCGGTGCCAGGTGCGCCCGGCGGAGCGGCCCCGCGCTGTCCCGTGCCTGTCCCGTACCTGTCCCGCACTTGTCCCGAATGCGCGGCCCCCGGAGCAGATCCGCCCCCGCCGAGCCCTGAGCAGCACCGAGCCTCCCCCGCCGTCCCCGGGCGCTGTCGCCGGGCCATGGCCGCGGCGGGGACAGAGCTGCCCGGCGGCAACGCCAGCGCCAACCAGAGCKCCGCCGAGCCCACGGTGTCGCGGGACGTGTGGATGGTGGGCATGGGGATCCTGATGTCGGTCATCGTGCTGGCCATCGTKTTCGGTAACGTGCTGGTGATCACGGCCATCGCCCGCTTCCAGCGCCTGCAGACTGTCACCAACTACTTCATCACCTCGCTGGCCTGCGCTGACCTGGTCATGGGGCTGGCCGTGGTGCCCTTCGGGGCCTGCCACATCATCATGGAGATGTGGAAGTTCGGGAACTTCTGGTGCGAGTTCTGGACCTCTCTGGACGTGCTGTGCGTCACGGCCAGCATCGAGACGCTGTGCGTCATCGCCGTGGACCGCTACTTCGCCATCACCTCCCCGTTCAAGTACCAGAGCCTGCTGACCAAGGGCAAGGCGCGCGTGGTCATCCTCGTGGTGTGGCTGGTGTCGGCCCTGACCTCCTTCCTGCCCATCCAGATGCACTGGTACCGGGCAGACCAYGAGGAGGCCATCCGCTGCTACCAGGACGACATGTGCTGCGACTTTTTCACCAACCAAGCCTATGCCATCGCCTCCTCCATCATCTCCTTCTACCTGCCCCTSGTCGTCATGGTCTTCGTGTACGCCAGGGTGTTCCAGGTGGCCAAGAAGCAGCTGCAGAAGATCGACAGGAGCGAGGGGAGGTTTCACACCCAGAACAAGGAGCAGGAGCAGAAAGGTGGGGCCGGGCACCGCCGCTCCTCCAAGTTCTTCTTGAAGGAGCACAAGGCCCTCAAGACCCTGGGCATCATCATGGGCACCTTCACGCTGTGCTGGCTGCCCTTCTTCATCGTCAACATCGTGCACGTCATCCAGGACAACATCATTCCYAAGTACGTGTACATCCTCTTGAACTGGCTGGGCTACGTCAACTCTGCCTTCAACCCCCTGATCTACTGCCGGAGCCCCGATTTCAGGTACGCCTTCCAGGAGCTGCTGTGCCTGCGCAGGTCGGCCCTGAAGATGTACGCCAATGGCTACTCCAACAGCAACGGCAGGAGCGACTACAACGAGGAGGACAACGGCTACCCCCTGGCATCGGATAAAAACTGCGACCTGCTCTGCGAGGAGATCTCCTTCCCTCGCCCCGAGGACTTTTTGCACGGCAAAGGTACTGTGCCCGGCGGGGAGGGTGCTGGGGGTGGACATAGGAGCTTTTCCAAGGAAAATCAACCCCCTTTGATAATAATAATAGTGATTCGTTTTTAGAGAGCACCTAAAGCCTAATGGCTGCAGGAAACCCTGAACTCTGCACAGCGGGGCTGGCCCTGGGCAGGGTGGGGGGCTGCTGGCGGCCCCCCGGATTTGGGGGTCCCTTAGAGGGTGGGGGATGCGAGGCTGTGCAGAATGAGCGCCCCCGGAGGGACTGCCTGGCCCTCGCCTTAKGGACTGAGCTCCGTCATGATTGCTGGGAGCGGGGCTGGGGCTGGACCCCCCTGTACGGGCAGCAGCTCGCCGGGACTGCTCCCGGTCCCTTTCTCGCCACSCAGCTGGTGCCGTGGGAGCCCTCCCCGGCCAGGAGGGCACCTGGGGCGGGTGACAGGCTCGGCCAGCCCCGAGCACCGTGCGGAGATGGCACTCTGCACAAATCCGCGGGGAAGGGATGAAGCGCTCGGGGCTGCCGGCGCCGGGACAGTTCCATCAGTGCCCAGAAACCGCCAATGCTTTGTGGCGTTTGTTTTTGCCGAGTGCTATAGGACTTCCCGCAGAAAAAAAAATAAAAAAAAATATATATATATAGAAGTAAACGGAGTGTTTGCCTAGAGTGTGAGCCCGTGACTGTGGCACTCAGGAATGTGGCGCTGGAAGTCGGGTGACACGCGGCTGCAATCACAGCCCGGCGCTTTGCGTCCAGCCCAGAGCTCGTAAAGCGCCCGCTTTGTTGGAGTGCCCGGCTCGGGTGACAGCGAGCCCGGGGGGCTGCGARGGCAGCGGGGTTTGGGTTTTCCCGGCCCCTTGGGAGCGCGGCTCCGACACCGGGATGGCTGCGGATCGCTTGGGTTGGGAGCGGAGCGGGGTTTGCCCCGTGTGCCGGGCTCTTGGGGACAGGACAGGGCTGGCTCTTGGGGACAGGACAGGGCTGGCTCTTGGGGACAGGACAGGGCTGGCTCTTGGGGACACGACGGTCCCTGGCTGGAGGGGAGCAGCGATTTGTGCTGGGGACGCCCCGCGCTGTGCCAGGCTGGACCCGCGGCCGGGTTCCTTCAGGAATACTCGGGAAAGGYGCAGGAAAAGCCTCTCCCGGGATCTGCCGGCGCTCCGCGGGGCCGGGGTGCCCGGGGGATGCTCGATGCGGAGCCCTCGCAGCACGGGGGTGCTGGTGGCGGTGTCCCTCGGGCTGTGCCGCGGTCAGTGGGTGGGTCTGGGCGCGCTGGGTGCCTGGCAGAGCTGTTTTTGGGTGGTGGGTGACCAGCTGGTCCGTCCCGGTGCAGGGGGAGGCAGAGGAGCTTTGGGGCAGCGCCGTGCCCCGTTCCGGAGGCTGTCASGGGGGTGGAGCGGGGTTTCTGGTTACCGACAGCTCTTGGCAGTGCCCGAGTGGCCTTGGCTGCCCTGGCAGCGCTCAGGACTCGCCCTGGTGCCGGCGGGGCTGGAGGGGGATCCCCCCGGCTCGGCAGGGAGCAGGGGCGTGTGATTGCTGCTGCAGGGTGTGGGGACAAACTCCTCCAGCTCTCACCCCTCAGGGTAAAGCCCAAGGCTCTGGGAGCTCCTAGCGCTCCCTTTTTTCCTTTCCCAAAGTGTTCTGATCCTTCTTGAGGACGGTGCTGGGACAGAGGAGCAGCTCTAAGAGCTTTCCCCTCCTCAAACGGCGTGACTGACTCGCTTCTCTTGTCACCTCCGCAGCTCAGCCCCGCAGCAGGGGCAGAAAATGGGGCTGAGAGCCCTTCGCTCCTGCCTCTGTCTGCCCGTGCCCTCCCCGGCTGCCCTGGGGGGTGCCCGAGTAGGGACACTCGTGTAGGGGGACACTCGGGGCAGGGACACAGTGTAGGGACACACTCAGTGTAGGGACACACTCGGTGTAGGGACACACTTAGTGTAGGGACACACTCAGTTTAGGGGGACACTGGGTATAGTTGCACACTTGGTGTAGGGGTACGCTCGGTGTAGGGACACACTCGGTATAGGGGGACAGTGTACAGACTCGGTGTAGGGACTCACTTGGTGTAGGGACACACTCGGTGCAGGTACTCGGTGTAGTTGCACACTCGGTGTAGGGGCACAGTCGGTATAGGGGAACACTCGGTGTAGGAATTCAATGCAGGCACACATTGTAGGGACACACTCAGTGCAGGTACTCACTCAGTGTAGGCACTCACTCGGTGTAGGCACTCATTCAGTGGCTGCAGATGCAATTTAGCTCGGTGCAGGCTGTGATTATTAAAGAGCGTTCAGGGGAAATGAGAATTAACCTCTTGATTGCAGAGATCGATATCTCGCGTTTTTTCCATCTCCTGCCTGTCCCTCCCGTTCCGCAATGCCCAGGGCTGTGGGTTTGAGGGCAGCCAGGGCACGCAGGGAGGAGCTGTCCCGCAGTGATGGGGCCACAGCAGCCCCCAGCAGGCTCAAATTCACACCAGTCTGCAGCAGGGCCCTCTGGCACAGAGGATTCCCATGCTCACATCTCGCTGTGGTTTGTATTTTCATTGTGATTAATTATTTGCATTTCGGTAGCACTTGCGGACCAGGAGCTGTTGTTCAAGTAATTGCTCTGTTTTTCTGGCTGCCTCCTCTTGCTTCAAATATTGTGGCTGTGGGTAGCCAAAGCTGAGAGATGAGTAAGGGATKATTTGCAGAAGCACTCCAGCACCCAGAGCACGTGGATGTGGAAGGGACAGGGAATTTTGGGCTGTTTGCACTGGACAAATGACCTCGGGACTGCAAAGCTCAGCTGTAAGAAACCTCAGGCTTGCAGTGGAGTCTGGCTGTTGAAGAACTGATTTCTTCCCTCTAAGGCAACATTAGTAAAACTGGTGAAATATAAACTGTGCAGCTCTGGGAGCAGCGGAATCAAAAGGGAGAAATTAATTAGAGGAAAAAATATTCTGGCACCACCAAAGCTAAACCTTTACATGGCTGGGAAAAAAAAAAAAAAAAAAAAAAAAAAAAAAAAAAAAAAAAAAAAAAAAAAAAAAAAAAAAAAAAAAAGCTTTGGCCTGCCGATTAAAATATTTTTATATTAAACAGAGAGTTTTATGGACACATTAAAAATTGGAGCATTGGAGTCAGGAGTTACTATTTAAATTGGATTTTAGGATTTTACGCAGGTAGAGGGTTGGCTCTGGTTAAACACCTCAGATAAAACACACAGTGGTGATTTCATTCGAGGGAAATCAGTGACAAATATTAAATTCTTACTGCAGACAGAGCAGGCTAATGCAAATGCTGTGCTGCTGGCTTGTACCTGGTGCCACTGCCACCAAGGTGGGGACACGGGGGGGCACAACCCCAGGTGCTGCTGTGCAGCCAGCCTGGCCCTACATTCACTGCTTTTAGCCACTTTGGCCAAASAGATTGTTTTTGTTTTTAAAGTTTTCATGGAGTGAACGTCACAAACACAGCTTTGGTGTTGTTACAAAACACTGCCCTGGCTGCGGGTCCTGCCTGGCRCTGGGGCAGCTGCAATTTCCACGTCAGGAGCTGCCTTTGCTTCATTCCCCAGGACAGAACGCCGCTGGGTTACGCCAATCCTTTGCCTCTCGGGATCATTCCTGGACAGTTTGGGCTGTCTGGGCAGCCAGGGCTGGGAATGGAGCCTGCTGTGTGCTGTGGCACTGGGGAGATGTGGAACAGGGAGCTGGCAGAGCCAAAAGGGTCTGGGTGCAGATCCCTGTTGG